ATGAATGTTCTCTCCTAATATGTCAAGAATGTGGTTGCATAGAAATTCTGATGTTCTCACAAAAGATCAACTGCATACAATAAGCATTTCATCAAAAGCGTTTATTTTCTGACTGGTACTCCCAGACTGTCAAAATCAGTAGGCATTTTAGACTAATCCTTTAATTGCAGTCTTTCAGAAAAGTATTTTCCACCAATAATGATAGCCACTCTATTTAAGCAGATCAATGGTTGAATAGATCTGAGTAACATACTTTTGTGTTTAATTGATTGATTTCCTTTACGGGAATTGATCATCGGATAAGATTTGAAGTCCTAGCCTTAAACTCCTAAAGCAGGTACAAGTTACTGCAGCAGATTTCTTTCGTTTCTGACGTGGTGCATCGTGGCAGGACGCAGCCCATGATTGGCAAAACAAGCATGGAGGCACATAAACAAGTAGATTGTAGCAATCCAATTCGTATGCATGATAGAAATGAAGAACGACAGACCAGCTCAGATATTAAACACCTTTGTATAACGGCACCAATATGCACTGACTTGTGCATAGTTTTCCTTCACCACGTCTTTGGTATGTCCTTGTAAAAATGAGTCTACACAACCATCCACCATTTGATTAGGATTCATTATTGAGCACGGCAGTGGAACGCATGCAATCGTAAATGTGCATTATACAACAGAACGAAAATGTGAATAAATCACAGTTGTATAGTGTCTTCATGTTATGCAATTTGTAGCATATCTGCTATTTGCTCCTAAATATTGGTTTCCGTTTTTCGACAATAAAATGATCCGTGCGACTTGGTGACAAGGGTCAGTTTAACTATTCGGTAGAGTGTAGAAAATGATGTTGATGTTTAATTGCTCTCCCTCGAGGTTTGACGTCAGTGTTTATAACAAGCCGTCCCAATCATCCTGTGTATTATGCATGGAAATGGTTCATTCATGGCTAGAGTAATAATCAATTTCACAAAAGCGTATCATATTCCGTTCGGGTTTGACAACATAAAGCGCTACAACGCCTAGTGATTAATCAAATGCGAAAAAGAATAAAACTTTCTGTATGATTTTGTCCATCATTTGGGGTAGTATGCGACTTATGAAGACCTGTGCAACGCCAAGGCGAACATGTCTTGTAACACCTTATGTGACTTTCGCCGAAAGTGTTGAGTATTGATAAGAAACACTTCATAGGTTTTTTTTATGATACTTCAAATGGCAGTGCTCTACGAGGATGGGATTTGATCCATTCGTACAAAAGCAAAACTGAAAAGAATATACTGCTATGTCTGGTCAGAAATAAATTAAAAAAATCACAAAAAGAGATCTTTTATGTCGCACGTGCTTCCACACGATTTTACGTTTCAACATTTAGGATAGAATGGTGCGTGAAACGCATGCATTTCTTTGCATCGTTTGCACAGCCGGAATTACGAAGAACCGCGGCGGATGCTTCCTTGCTTCCTGCTCTCAAACAAACAGCACACACGCGATGTGAAACATTCAGCAAGCGATTGGTCAAATTTCGTTTTGGTCACTGCTAATTCTTCACTTTGTGTTCGACAAAATACTTCTGTACTTTGGTTGAACCAGACATCGTGGACATCGTTGCACGAGAAATGAAAGTTGGACATGGAAACGATAGCAAATGATTCACCTACGGGTTTCCATTATAACCGATATGAACGGGAAAACTTAAATAATGCTTATACAGTTTCTGCGCTTAGTCTGATGATCATTGTTGATGAATGAAACATCGCATTTCGTTTGCTCCACTGCACGGGTTGCTCAGTTAACCAACTGTCTTGGTGTCTACCTGAATCATCATTTATCATCGGTGTTGGTCGTATCAGGAACAGTCAGCTGACTATACCGGAAGCATGCGAAACCTTATAGACCTAGATTGATTTCCTTCCAGTTAGGTTGATTGCAGGTGAGTGGTTAGCAGCGGCCACGTCAGGAATGATCTCGTTGACATTGGGAGCGGAAGATGCATTATAAACTTCATTTATGCTTATATGGATATTCCTATATTTTTAGTCCGCGAAGAAAAATGATGTACCTGGAGGTAGTAAACTTTTCAGAAATGTTCAATGATATGCATCCATTTTTGCGGTGTTGGATTTCTATGCGTCAAAAGATGAGATGGCAGGACAAGCAAACGACACTTCCCCTTTTAGGCAAGTCATTTGATTTACTTCTTATATTCATTATTATTAATTTTCCAACCTTACCCGTGATAACCCATCATTTTCGGGATTTTGGATACAAACCGATGCTCGGTTTATACACCTGTGTTGACTGAATCCACATCTTGATAAACCAGTTTTACTGTCATCTTTTGCAAAAATGGTGCATTCCTTGGGTGTATTTGATCGACATGGGTTTATGCCGTTACCTGCCCTTGCGTAAATATAGCTTATCTTTCTTGTTCCACAATCACAGCTGTGTGAATGAACCAATTCACGTGGTGAGATGCACCGCGACTTACAAACTATCTCACTGTAAATCGGTGAGGATAAACATATGTATACCTTGTGTTACATCTTGCTGAAGCTCTCTCTTTGCATAAATAGATATGTATGTCCCATTTTAACGTATATTTGCCCAAACTAATGTAGCTCGGAATACGGGATTGAAAGAAACAGAGACCCGTCTTCGCAAAATTTTCATCAGTTCTATATAATATACATAAACAATGATGTAACAGTATCGGTGATCATTGACAGAATGACATTGGTTTAGTTTAACCAGTCCTTCCTTCTGTGCACACCTGCTAAAGCATCTCTTTCGGAATGTCTTAGTATCCCAAATAACATTTTTGTGAACACATGAGTTTGTTTAGTGTAATCTGATTTCTATTAGATTCAGCTATGAATGACGTTTATTTTCCAAACCCTTCGTGGGGAGTTACTCATTCCACTATCAAAATATGTTGTTCTTTTCCACACCTTGTACAAACATAACAATTCGAATGTGAATCCAATTGACTTCAAATGTTAATCATGTCTTAGCATAAACTACAAGGCTGTGGACACCACGACACATGTAGTTTGCACTCGGTATCGGTTGGGTGTCTGATTAAACGGTTTATGTTCTTCTTGATTCCCTTACGCTCGAGCAATACTCTTGGACTTCTTCCACAATATAATCAGGTTATTAGTTGAACCGTTGCATCTGTTCAATAGTTCATAGTATCTTATGGAGGAACTCCTGTTTACCCATGTTGATATTGGTAAATAAACTATCACAATGAGCAATGCGAACCCCCATTTTATGTTCCACAAACCTCAATGGTTTCACAAATTATAATTTTCAACATTGATTCTGATTATCGTTTTCCTTCCACATAACGTTTTCTATTGCAAGTGTGTATACTTCCTGCATTGTAGGTGGTATTAATAGTCCCTTCTTGTAGGTTCTAAAGGTACTCGCTATTCCGTGCACACTTTTTCCGGGTTTTGAGGAACGACCGGATATTGACCCAATACAGTCAGACAGTTTGCAACCTTTCACAGGCGAACACCATCAATAAAATGGAAATGCTTTGATTGCTAATCTTCCTTCTTTGGGTAGCAGTTATAAACATACATAGAGTTGTAGCTCGGCTCCAGTGATGGCAACGTTTGAAGGACCTAAGAATACCTATGTTGTTTAAATTAAAACTATTACATTGCAGACCGTTACTGAGTCAATAGCACCTCAACAAGGTACATTTTACATGGGTAAGTCATTATTACAATTCCCCGTGTTATAGCGTCCTGTGACAGGTATAAAAATGTTAACGCAATTATCTTTCAGCGCAATAATATTCATTCATATTTTTGTGTGTGTATTATTGGTGTGCTTAACTACGGAAGCTGTAGCAAACCATCGAGCATATGGATTGTCAATTCTTTAGAAAATTGAACGTGGGATAAGTTTTTCTTGAATTGCAGAAAAGTAAAGTCAGAGAAGGATGAATGTAAGTGTTGCACGTGAAGATATCTACATGACTTTGTGATTGGCAATGAGATGGAGAAAGACCATTTAATGTGCAAGCGTATTCAGAGCAACCTTATTCTAAGCAAACGCGTCGGGTTTAACTAATGCGGATTTGAAAGAATGAACGTTTGCTTTACATAATTATGAATCAAGAAACATTTTTGTTTGCCGCACTGTTCCAAATGTTTGGCTAAATCATCATATCAAGTTGATAGGAAATCGTGAAGAGTTGAACATACATACGAGATACTAGATATTTCTATAAGACACTAGGAACAAGGGAGTGTACAAGTTTCGGAATACCGCGTTATTCTGGTGTGTTCTGAAAATGGTGATGTTATACTCAACAATGACATCTGTGTTAGAATATAACGACAAAGGAAACATGTGTACAAAATATGGGAATCAGTTTTAGTGATTATAATAATAATAGTAATAATAATAATAATCAGTAAAAGGAAGTACTCTAGTCACTTCATTCTTTTGACATACAAGTTCATCTGCTTTGGGATAAGAAATTTAAAACAAGAGGTATGAGCTACGGTTTGGATGATATTCCTTCTGAGGTACGATGACGGGCAAAGGAAACGGAATTTTCGGAAATGCAAAAAAGTGAAATTGCATTTCCTAATCGGTGATCATTTTGCCAAGATTAGAGTAAGGCAGATTGTCCACAGTTATGGTTTCTTGATGTAGAAGTCCTGAAAAAAGAAATGCATACTTCTTTATTTATGCTGAAGAGGAAATATGGTTATACAGGTAAGTTGGGAAGGAAATAATTCGAACGATCGCGTGTGATCGGGATGCTCACACGTGGGAATAACACAGTACGATGAGCCGCTCATCGACAATATACGTTTCTGTTGGAAATTCAAACAATGATTACTGTATAAGTATAATAAGGTATAATAAAGTTTTGTACATTTCTTGCATGAAATTGACACGGAGCTCAAATGTTCAAGTTCATCCAAAGATAAAGAACCACGGTAGATGTGTGTGTGAAAGAGTACTTCCGGGTCAGAGAATATCAGTCGACTTTGGGGGATTGGACTGCGTGTTCGGAGTGTCCGTTGAGTGAGATGCTACAGAGGTCGGTATCGTGGTGTCCACAATGTTGAATGACTGTGAGTCTCGATGGCACTGGTATGTCATACTTGGACTGGGGATGCCAATCGCATACATATCAGTCAGGTCACAATTTACTGTAATAAAAAGTAATCAAAAAGTGTCTGTATGAAGCAAGTGGTTTCGGATTTCATCTAACAACGTAAAATGAAGAAACGCTAAAATTTACATCCACTGTTGGAGTGTAATGGGTCATGTTCAGAGATTACCCGTTTATTCTTGAATATAACTAGTTTAGGAATAGAAAACAACTAATTAAGACAGTGAGCAGTTTATCAGTCACTTTTGATAAGATGATTGGGTTGAGGTGTAGTGATGAAATGAAAATGGTTTACGTCACTTCGCCATGCTTTATTTCATCTTTTGTTTAGTCAACACTAGGACAAAACAGCCACTGCGCTCGAATCCACTGAGGATTTTAAATTTGCTGTGGCTGCGTGTCACGTTCGGGGAATCATAATAATAGATCAAAAGCATTAAGACCGATGGTTCATGACAGTGTATGGGTTCAAATGCATGTCTACTAATTATAAATCAGTACGCCATTTTTTATATTATTCAGACGAGTTTACAAACATGACATTTATGCTTGGATCATAGCAAAAAGGATTGGGATGATCTTTTGCTGCACGTCATATTGCAAGTGCATTGGAACAATTGAAATTTGAGAATCAAAATAGGGAAAATTTGTAAAACATTCTGATTTTGAATCACATATAGCCACATTCAAGTTATGCAATGTTATACAAATGAAAGGATTTTTTGATATATAATATCTCTGCTATGAAGCATGTGTAAGGTTGTGAACGAAAGCGTGGATAGCAATCCCAGTGGAAAATGTCCAAATTCATTATATTTCATTTTTGATCAAGAAAAAAATAATACATCATCCCGCATGCGGATGAATCTGTCTCACACGAATATACTCAATTCCTTTTTCCTATCCCCACCTTTCTCCTCTGAGCAATTCGTTTGAACTAATTAGCCTCAAACTCGTGCCTTTGAGGTGAAGGCCTTTTGTCCAAAAGGCCTTATCGGTAATTATGAAAATCAATAATAAAACAACGCCTCAAAAGAAAATTCCAATTCCCCTGTGACAAAATAGGATCGACATCAATCAGGTTGTCCGAAATCCTGTACCTACTGATGATTAGAACTGGGTGGGCCCATCGCTTGTTTATTCTTTTTTTATGAAAGCGATTTTTAGTTTTTCGAAAAAAAGTTCCACCAATCTTTGGGTTGTATGAAATCGAAATGTGTCAGTTTGGTCCGACCAAGACCTTTTTATGTTGAGTTCTAGCAATGTGACACAAAGTTGAAATGCATTTTAATGTGTACATGCAGCGAAGGCAAAAGGTGCAACACCTTTTTTTAAACTAAATAAATGATGTTTTCATCCATATGCACAGTAATACGTAATACGCTGGTTCAGACGAAACGAATTCATCGACTGTTGTAATCGCTATAGAGGTCGTGTTTTTGACATTCTGTTGATTGCATTTTTAAATTTTCACTCGAAATTGTAGTTTTTATGAATTGTAACCCATAGCGCAGTGGACATCCCCTTAATTTTACCTAAGTAATCCCTAATACGTTAGAACAACCGATTGTAAAACAACCACCACTGCATCCACTGTTGAGAAAGCTTCTGTTGTGCCTTCAAATAGATTCACTTTTTATGACGATGATTCTTGATTGTAGTCTATCTTCCTTACTGACTAATAATCAATCAGTAAGAAATTCGTGCCACGAATAGATTTGATAAAGGTCATTCATGTATTTTTTTCACATTTTCAGGCGGACCATGTTTTAATTTATACCCGTTCACTTCACATCACATTTCATGTGCATAAAGAAACAAATCTAGTCCACAATGACAAGAAACAATGGTGGGAGATGCCCCGTTTTGAGTGCAACAGAGCTCTTACCTATATCATTTGAATGTTGAACTAATGGAGCTCTACTGTATCCGGCGTAGGGCGTACGACCAGGAAATATGGCAGCATGCGGTCGATCAAATTCCATAGAAGGACTCAACTCAGAATGGATTGTTAGCTGTTCACCGTCTTTGAGCTATGAATTCGGGGGCGAGGGTTGACCAATAAGGCATAAAAGGATTGTAATCGATGTTGAGAAACGGTTTGAGATGAAGAAAACCAATAAAGCTGTTCTATTGACGTTAACAAAGATAAAATACGAGTTATTCAACATCTAAATAGCAAGTAAACTTGTCTTGGCAAACAAAAAGTCACGTATTTTTAGTGAAAAGCAAACCGCTGAGAATTGGTTTTGTCGTGGAGCACGTCTTATAACCTTTTTTCCACATAATAACGGTAATTCGGATTACTTTGAACGTATTGTAGTGGGATTTTAACGAATTTAGTCATTTCTGCAATAACAGATTAACTTTAAAGGATGTGGGTGTGTATAAATGTGTATTTGTATGAATCCGGATTCCGCTGCTTGCATTGATACACCTCAAAATCAAACACCCTACCATGGTTTGATTGGTAACTTTGCAATAAGCATTGATTGAAGATAGTAAAGCTTTGTTAAAAATAGGAAAGAAACGTAATGTTTCATGGAGAGAGCACCTACCAACCGAATAAAATGGACCAGGAATGGTCTAACTGTTCTGAGTATGATAAACTAGTTCAGAGACCTGATCGTACAATGTACGGCTCCCCTCTGGGAATAGTTAGAAAACAATCATAAACAAAAGCTTAATGAAACTAGGGTGTCCAACAATTTTTATTAGTATGCCACATTCCGAATCCCCCCGGGGAGGGGTTGTAGAGGATGAAACGGGATGATGTAAAATGTGATCTGTAGTTGTACACATGATACGTTTCACAAATCATCACTTATTGATCATTTTGTTTTTAAGTTTAGGATAAGTAATTTTGTTTCAGATTAATAACGGGCTATCGCTGGTTCTATACAAGAGAAATATGATGTACCCGAACCATCGATTAGACTCAGATAAGTGAGCAACCATTATGACATTAGTATTTCCTGGAATGAACATTGATGTTTCATTGCAATCACGTGTACAGAATAGCAATTCTACCAAATTTAATATTTTCAGCAAAAACATGAAGTTTTGATCACAAGATAACCATTGGAGTTTACCAAAGTTCCACCATTGTTAGTTCAATCTTGTATGGTTTGTTATGTACAGTGCACCATAATTCGCCTTTGGGGGTACTATATCGATTTAACTGAGGTTATGAAACCATGGTGATTGTATTCTTTGTAGACCGGGAACATTTCAGGTGAAAACAATGTTAAATTCAAGCCATTAATACAGACTTCAAGTCGCATCCTTACAAATGGCTAACTTCGGGGTGGAGCTTGGCAAAAAGCAATATCAAAACCGTGGAAGACGAGGAGTTCATCTTTCACGAAAAAGAATGATCAGTTGAGAGCAGAATAATTGCAATAAAACTCTACAATTAAACAACAATCAGTTAAAATTACTAAGAACATAGTAACATTTTTGAAAAACCTGTATTTAGATGTCGCACGGACACAATATAGTTTATCTTATTCAAATCGAAACCATGTAGTAGGCAATATTTTGTTGATGGAGGCATATTGAAAAATAGTTACACTACACATATGCAAACGGTTTTATCTTTCATAAGGGCTATTGTTTATGCTTCCACAATTTCAAAAAAAAATTATAATACCACGAGGATCAAGATGGAATAAATGTATCTGGTCTTATATGAACCTGACCTCAATTAATCCTTGATGACAACAATGTTGGGATTTTCTACGATGTGTTATTTTGTTTATTGGCATGATTACAAATCACTGAAAACGAGCTTAGTGGCCCTCGGGTGTTTACTTTCCCTTGTGCTTTGTTGAGGTTTCCTGATAATCAGCTTGACTTGAAGGAACTTTCTTTGTACGTTGTTTTAGTGTAAGGATTATAATTTAGAGTTTGGTTAACAACAAGGGGAAGGAGCGATTGAGCAGTAAACGTGATCACAATGCACATTAGGTGAGATGTGAACGAAAAGTGTGAAGCAATAGACAAGTGTTTCGATCTGATTGGATTTCATCAACAGTGGAAACCAAACTGGCCATGAAACACTGGGATTACAGGAGGAAGAACAAGCAAACTACCCCTTGAACGATCACGTAGCTGACCAGACCGTTTTTATTTAAATATACTCAATATAGCAAAGTCCATCTTTGCAAGCGTATTTCTGGTCTCGAATTGCACTAGGTTTGTTTTCAAACATAGCTGAATTGTGCCAAACAAGGCAGTTAGAAAGAACAACAGCCTGTCAGTGGTAGATATATATTCATATTCGTTCATATTCATGTTGGGAGAACATTTTGAGAACATTCTCCTTTAGGTATTTGGAAATTACGTTCTACAAAGTGAGCGATAAGAAACAAATCATCATCCAGGTTTTACTATGCATTATATTAAGTTCTGTGATCCATGTTTTGCTATGGGGCAGGCGAAGATATGCTTAAGGTAGTAAGAAATGAAGCACCATCATCTGAGCGAAGGAACAGTAAACCAATCACGATGAAAAAAGTCACTCTATTTAAAAAAACCAAACGTAGATAGAACAACACTTAATTACCTAGCATGTACTGTTTATTGAAGTAAGCTGATTCCCCTCAATTCTTCAAGCGCATCACGAGTTTCACTATTGTCCATTTCCACTATAGCATTCTCAAATGAATTTCACATTCAGTTTGCGTAAGTATTTTTAGTATTAAAAGGCCGCGTTAGGAACAATCGGGACAATATTTTGATGATAAGATTGCAGAATATGATGATAGAATAAAAGGACGATTGTTATAGAATGGTTAATTGGACGGTGCAATAAAACTCAATCACTTCGAGAAGATCGTTTCCGTTTGGATTTGATGAGCATATTATGAGTGATGCTGTGCAGGCGTAAACTTCCAAAAAATATACCATTAAAATGCCTCATTTACCCTGTGTGACGTGCTGCAGTGTCTGCTAGCTACTCCTAAGCAAAGAGGAAATATTAGGGTAAAATACATCATCGTTGTTTAAGAACAAATGACTTCAGTCTGTTTTGAAAAATCTCACATCTGTAACAGTCTCAGATACCGGTTTACTTTCGAAGTATGTTTCCATATTGTTGTTGTATTCCAATTAAAAGGAATGTTGACCTCACCTAACTTCTGACTACTAAACCAAGAAAATATAATAGCTTCACAAAACTAATCTAGATTGACAACTGAAATGTTTCCATAACCCATTCTATTGAGAATCATGTAGATAAAATAGATAAAAAATTTCAAGAAACACCGCCGATCAATCAGAAAATGTTACTGTACAGCAAGCGACAAAAGCAGCAATTCGTGTAGGTGAAAATGTTAGCTGCTACTGAGGTAAAAAATAAACGACTCGAATAACAAAATGTTATGTTTTGCCACTAAAATTATGGAAGTAACCAGCTGATCGAACGGCTACCCGACGAGATTCCGTGCATAAATGCAGTATACCTTCGTGAACAGCTCAGCTTACTAGCTGAACGGTTAGACTCCTATCAGCACCGTGATTTTTTCACTTTTAGCGTAATAACCTCAAAATAGTTTTCTTAAAACATGGTATATATATCATTGTATTTTCTTTCATTCCAAGTCAAAACAATATCCATGATGTAAGCAATTATTTATTACAAAATGAATTTAACGTAACGTTTCTTGTGTTGCATTTTCTCGCTGTTTGTACCTAATGACATCTGATTCAATTTTGAATATAGGCGTTACACAACAAAGATTTTAAATGTTTACTTCGCATCATGTTTTATTGGAACGGCTTAGTAAAGACAAATGAGGGGGGCATTCGTGGCACGGATATCGTTTGTTTTAGAATTCATCCTTCCAATTTGCCTGTTCTATCTTTCAGGAAAAGGTATATTAGAAGCGATCGTGCGAATGACTCTTTCTTCGAGCCATTATCGATTATTTGACAGAGGTCGTATGTCGATTTGGCTTTGAGGTCAGCAATAAAAACGCAGTCCATTTTATTGAAGTTTAATGCTTATTCACGGATAAAAGTGAAGAAGCTCTCCATACAACGAAAATCCGTGAGGGTGGGATTAGAGGAGGAGGGGGATCAAAAATTGGTGTCTGCACACGCAAAAGTCAAGTACAGTGTTCATTGATTTAGTAATCGGGATTGTTATTAATCAAACACGAGCGAAAACGAACCAGTAAACATTACCGTTCACCCTGAATTCAAAATGGTTTTGATATAGAGATGAAATGGGAAGATTTGGCTACCTGTTCATGTTTCATTAGCTTATAGCCTGATGACTAAAACGTGATCTCTGAAGTGCCAAATGAAACGGCATTTTTGATGAGTGTTGAGTGACAATTATATGTCAATAGTTCAATCGTCACATTGCATATTGTATACTGAAAATTGAGGTCATTATTCAAATAAGCCAATAATAGGCTTTTACATTGACTGAGGAAACATTCATGTGCTATCATAGCTCATCATAATGGTCCATTTCATTGTGGTACATTTTCATTGAATGTAAAATGTTGGTGTTATTTACCTCAACATAATCTTACGTAAATCTGATTTGAGATCTCGAGCAGTAACGTGAAACGAGGTGGCAGTTTATTAACCAAATAAATTACCGGCAAACGCCGTTGTTACACAAAGCGAGGTGAATACGTTGCGGCAAACACTGTTTGAAGTGATCCAAAGGACATCAATTTATACAACTATTCAAATAAAGCAATTTCTTCAGCTTTCATGCTTAGATTGATCACTTTTCAGCGAGCAGCTTGTTTTGATTCAGAAAGCCCACTCAATTCTCTTGGAGGCTTCACGAGCAACATGCGATCAAGAAGAAACAACAGAATTCTACTGACCAACCCTAATTTGCTCCGGAGATCTGACAGTGTTCCGTTCCGTCAATAAATTGTCTATTGCCCATATATTTAAAACAAATACTTTTCATAATGAAACCGAGTTTCCGAGTGCTGCAAACGCTAAAATTAGGGGTGTGAAATTCAAATGCAACAGATTTCCACTAAATAATCCAAGAAATTAATAAAATAGCGTCAAGGAAATCTCGTAACAGACTAGTACGCTATTTTGTAACGTGTACATTGATAATGATGGCTACTAAAACTTATTAAACATATACGGACAATATACACTTTAGAAATTTATTCATCAATTCAAAATTTTCGTATGTGCAAATTGGCTCGTTTTGTTCTTGAAAAACGCTTGCTTTTGGCTGTTTTAATTTGCTTCAGGTCTGTAGATATCCCCAAATAAAAGACTTTCTTTGTCACGTTCAACTGATCTATGTACAAAATACGTGTTATCTTTTAGCAATTAGTTTGTTAATTAATTAAATTTGTCATTTTGATACGCAAATGGGCTTCCAGTATAAAGTTATCCTTGTCTCCTTTTTGTTTTTGACGTTCGATCGAGAAATCTGCAGTTACCCATTCACAAAAATCTAATTTTGAACTGAGCGAAAACAAATCACAATAAAAACATCTTCAATGAGAAGAAAATGTTCCGTGAATTTCAGGTGGGTAGGATACTACCAGGTTGCAGAGCACCAACGCATTTTCCAGACGAATCATCACATTTGTGTACTTAAACATTGCAAATCGAAGTACGCGCATCTTTAGATAAATACATTCTATTTGTCATGCGAACCCCAGTGGTGTTCAGAATAGGAGTGAGCAGCGGATTTGACAGAATTTTATGAAATACAGTGTTTTGTGCATGGAATCAAACGGCCAAAATTGGGAGTCAGAGTCGGATACCGAGCGATGAGCTGCATAGTCAGTGATCAAACAAGATGCATACATGCAAACTTTGGAACACCACATGTAAATAGCGAGTCAGAATGAAGTCCAACGCCATAATCTAGGTTGCTGCTTACATCGCTACCAAGGACATATCTAAATCAAAGTCAAATCTCTAATAAAAGTTAAGAACTATACAATTTTCAACATTCGTGTTAGGAAGATTTATTCGGTCTTCCGGACTAACATTTCACTGAAGAAGTTGACTAGTAAGGCTCTTTATCTCACCTGATTCGGTTGTGCGCTGGGAGTAAATCCTTTCGCACTCATATCCATCGGAGGATAGCTGAGTCCATCCCCTTGACCGGAGAGACTGATGGCTGAACTCAACTCGCCCGTATGGTCTCTCGGGTGTCGACCACGTCCACGTCGTCGACAGCAGTGTACAAACCGTTGTCTCAACTGTATTCGGTAAGGTGGTCGTTTACTGGTGGTGGGGCGAAGTTTATGCCGTAGAATTACAATGTGGTTGAATAAACGTTATCGGTTTTCAGAAATAACTAAAAACAGCAAAAGCATAGTTACCGTCAAAGAACATGAGTAAAAACAACGATTTAAAAATAAACAAGAGCTGCCAACTCAGCGATACAATACGATTTATTGAGGACACTTGCAACGTATGTTCACAATCCGCTACTTTTTTGAAGCAGTTATCACCTGATGATTGAAGAGTGGTCAAGAACCACAATAAAAAGACCGGGGAGTGAGTGAACAAAATTAAAGTTATTATTTTTCCCCCTTGTTGAAACAATAAGTGAACCACTTAGAAATGTAATATTGGTGTAATGAGAATAATAATAATTTTCGAACATATTGTGGAAACTAACCAGTGATTTAGGTTCCTTCATGTATGCGAGTGATTTGAGAATAACGCATATAGTCGTACATATGAAATCCTGTGGATAATCTATTATTTATACAATAGTTTTTTAACATACGGGAGCACAGTAGATTGAAACTAATTAACGCCTAAATTCTATTTTTCCATATATTTGGTCTTAGTTGCGGTAAATCAATATAAATGTAAAAATCTGCCATATTTGTCCTTTTGGATGTATATTCAAGCAAACATAGTTTACAATCAGAGGATTTGTGCACGCTGAAGAGCAAGAATTTATTCTTTTGTAGTGCATCTTTGATTTGCAAACATAGACCGATTCCCGTTTACCGAGCATCTTTACTTACCTGTTCACCAACTTATTGGACCGCAGTGAGATTTCATCAAAAATTCCTGACCGAATTCATCTTGACAAGTATAGGACTGGGCCGGGAGAGATTAGGACGCATGTAAACTTCGCAACTCCGCCGACTAATTCAATACTTATTGAAGAACAAAGACGTTCGCACGATGAAGCGGCACAACGGCAGCATAAAATATTTAATAGCGCGTCAAAGAGAATGCAATGGCTGTGATCACACAAGGACAACAGCAGTCCAATAGGTAATGTGCATGAAACGTCAAAGATTCGCAAAATCGACTGCAAGCATTATCCATTCAATGCTAACTTAAACGGTTTCATGAAAAATAAACGCATATTCCCAATCATGAGGTCTTTGATAGCATTTATTAAACCCAATATGACTTTATCTACACTCAGACAGAGAGAAAATCATCAACATCGCTCGTATAATCCTTATCGTGCCAACATCAATACGAACACTTACATTTTAGCTTAAATACTTAAATGTGGTAAGGGACTGAACTGCGTGACGCACATTCGCTCATTCGCATATTCGGCTTACATGATAAAGTTGTATAGCAAGTATTCGGATCAACCAATTCATCAGTATGACAATGGCCGTACATTTGCCAAAGAAAATGAATCAAAGCAAAGAGTTGATATCACGAGTGCATGCTATTTCAGTTTCAAGAAGAAGCCAGACTGACCGGAACATCCACTATTTGTACAAATTCAAGCAAGTAGTCGATTCTTCAGCAAACCACATGAGCTTAAAATGGATATGTTTGTTAGATATAGAAATTTTCCTAGGATTGACAGATCAAACACCATCAGACGATTTGGCAGCTACCGACTTGTCTATAGAAGAGGTTTATTGTTTTTTAACTGATAACATCAAGGGTCATCCAAAATTTTATCCAGGAATAAAATGTATCATTAAATCTCCAACAAAACCTTTTGGAAGTGTCGGAAAATTAAGCATAAGAGTAATCAATTCATGAGTAGGGTGTAGTTATGCGCTATTGAATTCATGACTGATGAATCGTCAATAATAAAGACCGCGCCGTTAAAAACTGCGGTGTTTAATCAGTTCATCTGCAGCTAATCCGTAATAAAAACGTATTTTTCTAGAACTCTTGATCATCAAGTCCGTACGAGAAACTCACAAGAAGGCTAATTATAATCATTCACTTGAATTATTCAACCGAACTATATTCTTATTTCGTGATGTGGTGGATTTTTTCGAAGAAAAACAAGGAACATTTCTCGTTTTACAAAACTGAATCCTGATGATTTCATTCGCCCGTCGTTTACTTGTTGTTGGTTATTAGTCCAGAACAATAGGTTTCTTTTAGACAACTGAAAAATCCTAGTCCCTTTCAGTGTTTCTAACACCAACCACATGATTGGTAAAATGTGACTTTCCACGAACAAACAAGTGTTTTGTTCAGAAGCATTATCCTGTTGCGAAACTGCATTTATTATGCGTTTTGACCGCTTCCGTTTCAATTGTTCGCACTTATTTAAACCAGCTTAGCGGATATCAGAATTGTATGCTGCTGCTGGCAGGTGTCAGATAAACCGGTGTATATGAAATAGCGAAAATCACTTTATTGCATTAGGAAGCGTTTTCATCTGGTTATTAATCAAAGATACTGCGTTTGTGCGCATGTGTTGCTATCTACTCATGATGTGCTATTGAGAGACAAATTGAGGTAAAAAGTAATGCTTTTTATGATCTTCCGACACATCGGGGTTGCAAAATAGTTATTCGGGTTTAGCTCAGCTTTTCAATGATGTTTTCTTCTCTTAACCATCCTTATTTATAGTCTATTTTTATAAGAGTATTCAAGACCGTCTACTTTAGGATTTTATTCGATATATTCACCATTCATGAACACTCACCGTTGTGAGTAGAATTTATTTTGATTATTCGTGGAATCCCAGTGCGAGTGGGAGCAATCCTATCCATGATTACCTAAAATGATAATATTTATAATTGACGCTTTAGTTTTGAATGCATGTAATATGTATTCAGCAGTGACACGAACGGTTACAATACCGTGCTGGACCATAAATCTAAGAGTTTGTCTTACATTTTTCCTAATTTGCATCTTGGAAGAATAAAGGAAAGATATTCTCTTTTAAAGTGTTTCTCGAGGAATTTCCACAAATTCTGCCCATTCAGTTTTACTGTTCATGTTAATGCCGTCATCCGGAAAGCATTTCATAAGCATATTTCATCTTGTTAGATCAATCATTTAGTTCCCGTGTACAGATATATTTATATAAAGTACGGTAATTCTCTCTTTGCTAAAGTAAAAGGGATGAAAATAACATTTTAGCATAAAGGATTGCACTTCGGCAAGATTTCATGTTTAAAAGTAACTCATTCCGTAATGGTTTGTGACATGCACTGAACTTTACTTTCCACATAATCATTTGTGATCCGAAGGTGATTGCAACATTTTGTGATTTTAGTATACAATCGTATGTTAGAATGAAACAAGGTTCTATTTGGAATGCCGAAGTGTGGTCTGATCAACGGTAAAATCACTGAACCTTCATAAATAGTGTAATGCAGCAGTCTTGCTTTGAAAAAAACATTTAACTCTTTTCTTCACACATGAATGTAATCAACCGATTTACGGGCTCACTTACTTCGTGCTGATTGTACGTGATTCAGAATTCGTTATTGATCCCCGGTTCAAATATTTGCAGGGTTTATCTTCGTCAGTGCATTTTCGTGATTGTTTGAAGCGAACCGATTTGCTCAGAGATGTTCGACTGACTTCTACGTTGTCTCGAGTAGTGTCTCCCGGTATCACTTCGCACCCCTTTCAACATGGAATAAAATATGGGAATTCGAACAGTAATTTGTTTTCTTGATTACTTTTCTCATAACCTTTGATTGATCTGCATTTGAGTTCTAACAGTGCTGTCGTGATTAGTGAAAAAATTTTGCAATTAATGGTTCTGTCAGACAGCATCGATCTTTGATTATTTTACAAACCATTAGCAGTGACTGAGAATTTCATCCCATATTTATTTACATATAACACAGTTGAGGATCCATCCTTTAGCTATTATACAAAACTTAAGCCGCATGATCCTCATTTGAACAAAACATTGCGAAGCTGATTAACATATTCGAAAACAGATGGAACACAAAAATCTTTGGTCTTTTCATTCATCGAGTGTTTCTGGAAACACGATGTCACTGTTGGTGCATGCGTATGTTATTTGCAAACTGACTTTACGCCAAAAAGCTTACGATGGATAACCAGCTCCTGGGAACTCACCCAATGAGGCTGGGTTTAGCAAACTGCCTGAACCGAGTTTTGTTTCCTGTTTGAAATGATGCTTCAAGTAAGACACCAATAGGGTGCTATTTTTGTAAAAAACAGTTCCTTTCTCTTACGTATAAAATTAGCGCTTGTGATCTCAGGTCAAAGTTGATCCCCTGTAAACTGATCACATTGTTTGTCAAGTATTACGATTGAAATACAGGAACAAATAACATTCGTTTAAGGACGAAGTGAACGGAGTAAACTAAGTCAATGCAAAGCATTTGGAGGCTTTTACAAAAAGTCACATGAAAAAACAAACCGAATCCTAGTATTTTATTGCCCCTTTGACATCTTCAACCTATGGACCTAACCTTTGACACCTTTCTCACATTTAGACATGGAAAGCTGATTTTTATTCGTTCAGTGACAGGTTTGTGAAACGGCATCATATGAAAGAAAACAAAACCTGCTCAGTCTTTCTTATGAGAACGTATTACGTGCATGAGCGGGCTGAAATGAAACGTGACTTGCGTCGTACGGCTTCAGAAGTGTGAACCTCACGGGATAATGTGTCCTCAAACGAACGGATAGCATTCCGCTGTGCAACACTGATTAGAGACAGAACGCCCTTTCTCGATGCTGTCCTAATAACTTTGATCCCCAGGCATTCTATCACCCACTTTCATACACACACGTATTCACTATTGTTCATCGGATTAGCTGAACCAGGGTTAATCGATCGGGAGATGATGATTAGCTTGCATGGGACGTGATTACGGTTTGAGGACAGACTGCTTTTATGTGTGTGAATAGATCCTAGTACAGAACATTGCACACGAGGTCATGTTTCCGATGTGAAATCGTTCTTCGCGGATTAGTAAATGAACCAGTACCTCTGGACACTGTGATCAAGCCGAACAAATAACAAATCAATGTCGCCTTTCGGACTTACAGTTGTTTGTTGTAGGCAATCAATCAAATGATAATATTGCTCTTCGAATATGTCCAGCATGCTCTCGTCGCAAGTGTTTTTCTCCAGTTGAAAACTGACAGGATCTGTCGCCGAGGTCGAATATGAATGAATTCCGGTAATCCAGTCGCTTTTTGTGTCATCTTCAATGAATTGCAAGTTTGTGTTGTACGATTGAGCAGTCGGTTCCAGGTTTGTGAGCCGGCTGACACCTTCACGGCTCTGTCTAAACCGCTCTTTGCCTTCGAGGAAAGCATTCTCTTTGGCCTGTTTTATTTCACTAATACGAGATATTCGTGCCTTCTACAGTTGGATAAGGGAGGATAAATGCAAGAATAAAGATGATCCGTTTTTATGATTATGAACAAAGAAACTGAGCTCAATAGCCGCTGTGTATTCTATAATACGGACAACATAGTGGTGATTTTCATGAGTCTTTTTAAGTTAATGTGAAAGCACAGAATTGCTTAATAAAAATAGTCCGGAATCACACAAAATAAATATTCATACCAGAGTACCGTAACATACATTCATGGTCCATTATAATTTGTGCATAAAACACGGAAATAGGAAAAATATAAAACCAAGTGTTTTCCACCTGCAGGCAATCAATAGCTTACGATGGATAGACATAATCATGAGTACCAATAATTGATAGCAGTGATTGTCCAACATCTGAAAGACATGATTTATTGGATTATTCTTTAACGTGGCTTAAGAAAGCATTTCTATATTCAGAGAATAAAAGTAATAGATCAAGACTTTGCCGTTAAATTTTTCTTGCAACCTTCATGAATGCTAGTCATCCAAATTCATTGTATTTTTCTCTACCCATTCAAATATAAGATCGAGGTCATATTGTCCTTTTGAATGATATAATTTCCCTGGTGGAGACAATTCAAAACATGACATAAAATAACAGCAAATATAATTATCCTCATTATGGTTTCCGATGACCAAAAGCTTTCTCAGCTAGATGTGTGTTGTCATTCTCTTAGGAACTGAATACTGGAAGGACGAAATGCATTCTGAGATAAGATATTTTTTCATATAGGAGTACTCAAAAGTAGATCCTTACGATAAGAGTTTACTTCAAAGTGCCATATATAAGGGTAAATTGAAATGATGACCAGATTCATTGTGAACCTTGAGCAACGTTTGTGATGAAAAATGATTATTAATCCATAAGCTAGTAATAACTTCAGAAAGCACAGGTGCTGTATTAACGGAAGGCAAAAGGTTTGTTTGTAAGAGAAATGAATCATCATCAACAAATGGCATCCGCGTCGATTCCACAAATTCAATTCCAAGTAGTTTCGGTGTAATTAGTGAAGAGCAGCGATCCTTTTGTAAGCTTCAATATAGTCAGATGGGGGATGCCTTGGTTTATAGTTGGTATCCCTTCCTTTGAACCTCAAAACTGCTCATATACGCGGAAGCCCTATCGAACAAGCTCTGTTGAGGAAACCACACATAATATCTTCCCGTAGCGGAGGTTTTTCCCTGCAAAGTGAGTGGAGGAAAATCCCTTCTCAAGCATTATAACTGAGTCGGCAATTCACTCTGGGATTTTGGATAATAACCTCGCTACCAAAACCAGAAATAAGAGGCAAAAGAACCTCTCAGAAATAATTTTCTGGTTATGGCGATGGTCAGCAGCTTGATTGGACACCGATTTGATTTGGGTAATTCGTATATTTAATCCGTCCGCAGGACATATGATCCAGTAAATCGTAAATCAGCCTACTTATAGTCTAGCTGTGTATTGGGTTAGGGTTTCATTGGTCTTGGCTCCGGTTGTGAATTGTCGAGAAAATTTCGCTTGTTTCCTAGGCCACCTGGCAGTGTCGCGCTCACGAATTACTTATGGAATTTTCTTTTTTAATTACCATTGTTGTGCCTTGATTTGTTTGGAGCACAGTCTGAACTCTGTTGCTATATACATATATATATATCTATATATATAATCCTCAGAAAAAGTTAGGTTTTCAAGTTACAGATTATTGGTAACGATGATCTTGAGCTATTCGGATAAGTTGGCAAGACCTGTTCTTTCTTTCGTTGGTAAATTTGATCAGTGGTATAACGGTTAGATGGTCCATAGCTCGCGAAGCATTATGTAACACAGATAGAAGTTGTTAAAGTTAGACCCTACATTCCTCGATGTGACACTTGGTTAACCGCTCCAGGTTTTTCGGTGTTGGCCGAAGTTTTTCACGCCGTAGACGTTTGCAATAAGTGACTGGGTATTGGCTACGTTCAATACATCCAGATAGAAAAACCATCCATACTCGTTGCACAGTAATCTTGCACCTCAATCTCACAAGCCCACTCAACGGATGAATCGTTGATGGTGGGAGACAAAAGCTCCGATGAATAACAGTTATAGCCTTGTATTTTTACACTAAATATGATATGAACCGTTTATGGTGTAAGGACCACCTTTCGCAAACTATAGAAAGCATACCACGAATTTTAGCGAGACATTCTATCCGCGATGCTGCCATTTACTAACTTGGACGGACAATCGACAGGGTATGATGCAAGCGAGAAGTTTAGAGACGATTTGGAACAAACTAATTGATGTCCTGAAACTCTTAAGGAATAAGCATTAAAAAATCACGATTTACGTTTTCTTCAAAAAACTCTCATTCTGTTTCTCTTGATTTTATTGCCGCTGCGACAGTGTTGCCAAAAACCTTTCACTAATCAAAATAAGTCATTTTAATTATAAGAGTTGCAATCAATTTCAGATGAATTTCCCCCAAAAGTTTCATCCAGCCACGTTGATGATCTTCAATTTATGGAGTATGTTGCAATCGTTACCACCTATGCATCGTTGAGTATATTTGAAGATCGGATGGAGTTGTTGAGCGTAATTACTTGTGATCTTTTCGGAGTTCATTTTCAAGAAACAAGCAGTGGCTAATTAATGTAGTTCAGGGGATTCAAACGCATGAGTTTTGATGTTGAATGCGGTTGATTTAACGCACGGTCAGCGAACAGATTGTTCCCAAAAAGTGGATATACTTTCGAGTCAGTCGTTCACAAATAAAACAAATCCAATGAATACTGTCACAGTCAGTAACTGTATACAATGAACACAATTGGAACCTTAACAATGCCCATAAATCTATGAATCAGAAATCCATATATTCTTCTAACATCCAAATTAAAGCTCTGCAAAGCCTATTTGCGTCTACTACGAGAGATTTGATGTACAGTTCTAAAGACATGCTGATATTCTACCGGTGGACATCCGACCTATATTCCGAATAACTCATGATAATATTTCCAATTGGTTATAGATAAAGCACCTAATAAACTTTTGAAAGTATATAACGCCGTTAATAATGCTAATAAAGCAACAATTCTGACGGGTGTTTCGTGGCTGAACCGTACTGGTATCTTGTCTGCCTAAGTTAAAACTTTATCTCAAACAAAAATAACAGATTTGTTACAGTGTGTCACTTTTCGACTCAACACACCTTTTCCATCGTTTTATGGCACTTTGACAATCAATTTGGTTCTAACAAACAGTGACAGATGTGTGTATTCCTCTAATTCACAGAGCCAGTAATGGACGCAAAACACTATACATGTGTTGGCTAGATGAGCTCTAAATAAAACTGTGGGTAGTTTTCTGGAAGTTACCTGCCATCATGTGTTCAATGTCTGACAAACCTCTGATACGCTCGACTTTTTCTTGTTCAAAGGCTTTCTGGCCTGTAAACGGGTTGCCACACTAGAAATAAGTAATTAACATTCCGAAGTATCAACCGAAAGCTATCTTATGAATGACGGTTAGCGCGGACGCAAAACACAAAATCCCTTGGGTTTAAAGGTTCGAGGATTTGTTGGATTGTGTGAGGCTAATAGTGAAAGCTTCACATCAGCTTATCGTCTCAAGATTTATTACAACTATAAAAACTTATGAGTTATTTGATGAATTATAAAGTAACTAATTTATGCATATGAAATTATCTCTGAAATGTCAACTCTCGACCCTGTCTTTCTCTCGATCTGTAGATCGTAAACATAGGAATATTGACAACATATAACTTTATTTCGGTTTCTGTTTAACTGGAACAGCATGGTTATGCATTTCTGCAATCACGTGCGCATATGTTCGGAGGAGGACTAACATTTGTGTAAATCGTTTTTCAGAAAAAAAGTACACTTTTATAAAGAAGCATAAAGGTACCATACCCATGAGTATTACAATAAACTATCATTGTTAATGAAACACTATGTTGTATCTTTGTCTTTCTAATTGATTCAGAATATTATTTCATTATACTCTCCATGTAGGTAATGCCTTAATGCTGGTTTTTTTAATTCTAAATGATTCTATGGTACTACTTACAAGGAATAGTAAAAGCAACTGCAGGGGTATTAAAAAACGAACTTTTCACGCATAGTGAGCTTTGTTTGTCAGAAACGTCTTGCTTTGATCTGCCATCGGACCAATTTTTGTAATTCAGTTTGTATTTTTTAGTGTAAACAACAGCTGTTGAGGTAAGTCAGCTTGTTTATCTAAACACGAACGTCTGGTTAGAAGTTTGAGGTCATTGCATAGTGGAGGGTTTTGTCACATTTTCGAATGCCCGTCGTCAGACTTTATTTAATTTTGCCACTAGACAGTAAACTCCATACCTCCATAAAGGACACGTTTGACACAGAATGATTCATTCTCAAAATGATATTTTACTTTTAATTTATATCACTGGATACGTTTTTGAATAATCGACAACTATATGATTATTGAAGTCCGTATTACGAATTTCAGCCTGTAATCAGCTGAAAGATATATTTAGCACTGAAAACGTGCTACCGAAAAATCGTAATTCTTCTCCGGCGATGAACCTGTTTGGAAAAGACCCTTATTTGGATTTGTATCATTAACCATGCAATTTAAATGGAGCTATTTATCGAAAGCCAGTCTTATCTGTGTTAAAGTCGCACCATAACGTAACACATTATTGATGCTTAGTTTGCTTGGACCCATTCGGACCGCAATTGCTTCAAAAAGATGAAAAACTTAATCAAAACCGATTTATACCAATCCACGATGAAAGCTGATAAGGTTACATGCTGTTTAGTCCTCTAGTAATGTGAGCAATACGAGTGCTTTTAAACTCCTGGTTGCTGAATAATTCTTCAAATTAATTCATAGATGTACGTCAGATAGTATAGTCAGTGAAGTTAAAGAAGCTGTATAGTGCTCTTAGGTGTTTTCCGTATGGTTAACTTCAATGTGTGTTGTTAAAAAATAATGGCCAATACCAAGAGAATATGGACGAAGGCTATAGTTAACGCTTGTGCTGTGCTATCCAATAGGATTCAGACTTGTTGAGAGACTGGTGAGAGCATTTATTGTGATTGTAATCACATAATCCTTTTGGTCTCTAGCATTACTGGTTGGTCGCCCTAATCCACTCGTTCTCTTCTTTTTCCACAAACACTGCATAAACATCCGCTGGTACTAATACTCTGGTTCAGTTTTGTAGGTTCAACGTCCCTTCTCGCTCGCATTCACGCTAGCCTCAGTGAATACGGAATGTATTAAATCTACTTACTCAGGTTACACTCAACTGATTGGGTTGACATTTTCAGCCACATGTACGTATTTTGTGGTACTGCGTTTCAATATACAGTAACATTATAGTAATATCACTGAAGAAAAAACATCGAGGGTGCTACCCACGCGTTGTTCTTCACAAATTGTTTGTTTTTGTTCAAACGCTGACTGGAAAATTCCTCACTTTAAAAGAACGAAACACATATGAATCATAGTAAACGATACTTTTTCCTATTGTTTAATGTATAATAATATCAATAGGTAATTTGTTGTATTGGTTTCTGTCTCATGAACCAAAATCCTTGACAACCTTTTGATAGTTTGTGCTAAACAGATGGTCACTTTGTTCGTTCTTATGGCGCCATTTTTAAATATTTTGGATAATTACCGTTTACCCGAATTCCCTGGACCATCTCTCAAAAAACTGGCCAAATAATGATGTGAATTGGTGGTTTATTATTAGGTATATTGATTCAAATGATTCCATGACGATTCGTAATCCTTCTCAATTACTAAACAATTAGTTGTTTTGTTAGCTAGATAACTATCGCATCAATTTAATACAGGCATATTTGTGAACACCTCAAATCGGTACTCTCCGTATGACAACTAATATAAACTCCTTTGTTTTTTTAGTATTAAAGCTCTGGCTATAATAATAAAGTAGTGCGGGAAACATTGGTTCAATCGAACTTGTTTTCTCAAACAATTGAATAATATACTACAAACGACAAACACTTAACATCACACGATGAAATAAGATATTATCCCAACGTGACAAGGAAAAGTAAGGAGTATTTTCATAGATCAAAACCTCGTTCTCACAGACATCTTCTGGTGCAAAAGATCTTATCAGTTTTGTTCAGTCAATGAGGTTTCATTTTGAGGTTTACCCAATCACGATTCCTTAGGCGATATTTGATTGCTTTTTTTAATAATTTGATACTCGAAAGTAAACACTTTCACTCTAACCCCCATTATTTAAGTTACAACAAATCAAACAGAATAACTGTAAGATATTAAATCAGTGTTCTTTTTTACGAACAAGACTCCCCCCGTTTACGCAACCATTGGGAATGAATGGTCAATCTGGCCTTGTCTTTGTTACCTATACACACCTCTTTGTTTTTCATTCCTTATTTTTAGTAGTATTACTTTCAATAATTACCTGACTATTAACTTAACTTGACTGCAATGCGTAAGGGGCAAATGTAGCAAAAAAGATCGACCATACGTTGTGGAAATCCATTTTTTATATTGCAGGATCAGATTTATGTATATTACATTCCTTGAAACTGTCACACACTGGAACTGATCAGATTTCTACTGAATTATTACTAACTTATAATAATAGTTGTATTAAGATTTCAAACAGGTTTCATCAATATCAAATGTTGTACTACCTACATTTTTTAATGTCTTGCACGACGCTATTGTTATCCATTTGAGCATATAATTATGCCGTGAAAAGAACACAGCTGAGTGCGCCAGTATGCACTTTTGAAGTTTTTTGAATTCTCTTTTGAAATATTATGGAAACAAATAATCAAATCTCTTCTTTTAGACAGACTTCTGATTCATCTAAGCAAAACCGGTCAGCGACATGTAGTTGCATGTCCGATACACGTATTCTGTGTATTCAGTGTTTGCATGCTGTCTACAGCCGATGTATTTGCCCCTCATTACGGGAAACACTTCACGTTTTGTTGCCAATAAGGTTGAAAAAAGCACCAGTGAGTAAGTTCCACTCAAAATAAATATGATGGAATACTTTCCGTTACTGTACTACTGTCTAAAATGCAATTGATTTGGTGTTTTCATGCCATTATCTAAGATAGTCAGTGTGAAACGTCCTGTGTGAACACAATTTGGAACTACGAAACATTGAACTATGCGCTAGAGCGTCGTAGAACCATACATCACGGCTGCGGGGGAATTATATATACTAGTTATTTTTATCATAAATTATGAATTTATTCAGATCCCGAAACTAAATTGCCATCAAACTCGAATTAGCTACTTTCCTTCATTCGTGCAAATTGTCTATCGTAGCCTTCCTTGGCCCCTATGCTCATTTCGTTTTGATCCTTTTCTCAGCTTTCAACGGAGCATTACACCGGAGTAATCATTGAATAGGGGTGACTGATTCTTCTTCGATCAGGTCCAGTGTCACTATCATTGTTCTCTTGATCACCCGTCACATGTCTCCTACTTTGAACCCGTTGCGCATTGACCCGTGCACCGATTGATCTTACGACTCAGTCATACGCAGTTGATGTCGTTGTATCCTATTTGACCTTTGATTCTTTTGCTCACCAAATGTTATTGGTCACATTTCTGCCGGTTAACTTCTTTTTTCATCAAGCCGTTCCTAAACGTTGATCCCGACGGAAGGGTCTGTAAGTGCTGTCTCCGAGTTGAGTGGCGTTGACAGCCCTGATCTGCACACGCATCACATTCGAATGTTGCTTTCGTTTATTTGCAGTGCTCATTTATGTATATTCTACGAGCAATATTTTCGTTTCTATTTTGTCAATGCAGACGAGTATTGCGAAAAAGGACTCAAAATTAGAGGTTTGTAGATTTTTTTTATTCTTTGAGCTTAAATTGTCTTTGCCTCAAGATTTCTTGTGAATACTTCAAAATATGACTTATACATATCAATGGTTCATGCAAAAGTCAGAGATATGTTTTGATTTTACAACGTAATTATCCTGAAATTTGAAAAAATGAAAATCATTCGGTATAATGAAATATAACACTTTTCACTGAATCATTGAACCCATCATGCACGCTGGTGTTTACAGTTCCTCGCACCAAAACATGCCAGAATCTTTACTTGAAATTTAGTCCAGATATGACAATTTAATTCCTCTCATCATCTAAATCAAGACAATATTTATCGTAGTTTTTGAA